GCCACTGGCAAAAGTCATTTCCTTGTGGCCATTGGACTACAGTGGCCACATATTCAATAACTGGGGGGATTATTAAAGTGGAGGATTATTTCCTTGATGACTGTCAGTTGGGGATATTCTTAATTCCTGGGGTTTAGTTCATTTCCATGCCAGGTGGTCTCCTTCTTCTTTCATCCAGCAATGGCACATTAAAGGCTTCCTGTGCTTTGAATCTCTGAGTTGCCCTCCTCCAAACAGCAGGAGAAAATTCTCTGATTTAACAGGTTTGACTAATTAGGTCAGGCCTATGCTGATAATCTCCCTTTTGCCACACAACAGAACATAATCATGGATCATAATGTGTCTGGTCTTATGACTCTAGTCTTCTGTCCAGTATTCTTGTCATATTGCCCTGTGTCGTCCCTTCTACCTTAAAGTCAATAGGAAACTGCTTCAAATTGGATGATAAATTAAGGAGATAGAAAGGCAGATGCAGTTACAGAAAACAGTGTGGTGATTTTTCCTTTTCCCCAGCTCTCACATGTAACTCATTCCACAACTCAGAACCAGCTCAAAGCTCATAGGCTATGGGGATATATTTCAGCTCTTGCTGCTACCTTTCCACAGACTTTCTATGGCAGTAATGCCCTTTGGTTTAGATTAATGTCATCTACTCTCTGGGAAGAAGGTGGCAAATAGCCAGGCCTGTTATGTGTTGAAGTCCTACTATCTCCCATAGGCATTTGACAGGTTTTCTCATCTATCCCTCGGGACAGTACTCTGAATAAGATAATGTGATGCATCTTATTTCACAGATGACCTAGCTCCTTCTCACAGGGACTAAGACCCTTTCCAGAGAAGTGGCAGAATTGGAATGTGATTCCATCTCTTGCCCTCCCCACAATATAACCAACAGCTTCCTTCTTCCCATTTGGAAGGTGATAGTTTTACACTTCCCCAGTATTATGCCCTATGGATCTCACTCAATAGCCCTTCATGATGGTAGAGAAGAAATCTTGCCCTTTAAGCTATGAAACATGTTAGGTCACATGGATTGGCTGGTGCTTGTGGCCCCTCCTAGGCCCACTGACCCCACTCCACTGACATCAGGCTTGCACATGTGACCAGATGTGACCAATGAGCTATGAGGGGAAATGGAGCATGCCCCTCCCAAGTAGAAGTGATAAGAGCCATCTAGGAATCCCACAAGTACACTTTCTCCCTCTGCCTCAGCAATGTCCCAGATATCCTATGAGGTAGTTTAATTCATTGAATCCTCCATTTTAATAATCCCCACAATTATTGAATATGACAATTTAAGTGATGGCAGGAATGCTTGGTAAAAGGCAAGCTAAATGATTTATACCCAAATTTGGCCTGCTAGAAGATCCCCTCAACTCACATGCCCTGACACTGAGTACACACATTTTACCCACATCACATAGAGAGCAGTTTGCCAGGCTCTGGAAGCAACAGCTGCCTTTCACTCCACTACTGTCTCCAGAAGCTCTGTTTTCATGCTTTGCTTTTCCCTGGGGATTTGTGTTTATGGTGCCACAGGAACAACCCAGATACTCAGTCTAAGGCCACTCCTAATGCTCAATCTCCAAGGGGTCCCAAAAAGGTCAAGAAAGCTACACTGATTCTACACAAATGGGGTTACAACATTTCCCCATCCCACCTACACTGCACGATGCCACAACACAGAAGAGGCACCAAGTATTATACATGATGTGGATCCATGTGAGTTTATTTTTCTTTCTGGTGTCACGTTTTCAGAAGCTCTTTAGGATACAATTATGCTGCTTAGCACTATGTAGTTTAGATTAAAGTCATCTCTGAAGCAGAAGCTAGAAAGGGCCATGGAAAGGAAACTAACACTTCAAGGGCCTATGATGAGACGCTGTGTTAGGCACTTCAAATACTGTTTCTCTAAGTCCTTAAAACTGTTCTGTAAGTTAGGTATCAGTATTCCCTGCTCAAACCTATTCCTCTCCAGAGGCAGGCTCTCCTAAGGCTCATGGAGGTTAAATATATTTCAGGAGGATACACACCCAGTAAGAGGCAGCATGGTTATTCTAATCCAGGGTGGTCAGACCCCAACCTTGGGTTCTACCATGAATCTTTGCAGGTAGGTGTGGGTAGTAACATTTGCCCTATTCTAGAGCAGGTTTTCTCAACCTCGGTACTATTGACATTTTGGGCTGGAGAGTTCTTTGCTGTGGGGACTGTCTTTGGCATTGGTGGATGTTCAGCAGCCTCTCTGGTGACTAATCATAAGAATCCAGCAGCACCCCCACGTGTGACTACCAAAAATGTCTTTGGACATTTCCATGTCCCTGGAACTGGGGTATACAATTGCCCCAGTTCAACAACCATTGCCTTAGAAATAAATTTCCATAAGTATTTGAATACATGGGTCTGAACCCCAGAAGAAAGCTCCGTGATAAAGACACAGTTTGAGGGCTTCTGAAGCCTGACATATAATAAATGCTCCATAAATATTTGTTAAATAAATGCATATGGTATATAGAATAGAGGGTCTTCAATCTTTTTCTGTCCTTACCTGAGTTCTTCAAATTGAAGTAGGGTCATTCTTATAAATTGTATCAAAATCTTCAGTTTCAACCCAACATTTAGAGCTTAACTTTTGTTTCCCATTATAAAAGTCATGTTTTAAATTGTAAAACATGTAGAAATTGATTACATGAGCAGCAGGTAAAGCCAGACCCAAAAAAAGTTTCAACATCAAGACAGCTGAACAAAAAGCATGAAGGTCCATTCTAGCCTACATTTCTATGCTGAACACCAGGCTCAGCACATTTTTAATGACATTAACATATTTGAGCTTCACAACAGCTCTTTAGGCATTTTCCTCATTTATGGATCAGGAACTCAAGGTACAAAAACGTTAAGAAACTTGTCCAGGGTCACATGGCTAATAGGCAGCAGAGGCAGTACCCTAGCCAAAAACGGAAGGGGGCAAAGCAAAATGGGAATAAACACAAAGACAACCCAACAAAAAACAAACGAAAACCCCAAAAAACCAACCAAAGCCCAAAAAACCGGGAAATTTTGCTTAAATAAATGCAACGAAAACAAGGAACAAAAAATAAGAACTCTGGGAAGACGACACCAGGACAGCAAAAGACAAAAAAATCGAGACCATACAAGCAAAAAGAGAAAAAACCACACACTACAAAAAATACGACCTTCAGCATCATTTTTGTATTGTAGAATGTTTAGGATGATAGAATTTTTATAGGGATGAAAGATCACCCATTTATATGTGACTGGTGTGAGTACATTCCTGCTTCCTGTTTTTTTTCCCCCTGCTAGCAGCAGAGAAGCAAGAGAACTTATGTTGGTTATATCCTTCACGGTACAGCGAGACAAGATTCCACAAAAGAAAATAGCAAAATTACGATGCTGACAAACAGAATACTGTAATGGGAGGCAGGAAATCTGGGTCCCCGTACTATATCAACAACTTTCTTACTTTATAACACTAAGTCACTCTACCCAACCTTACTTCCATTAGAAACAGGAAAAATACTACCTAGCCCTGATGGCCAGTCAGAAGAAGCATAACCAAGAGACCCTTTCTCTTTTTTATACTAAAACAAATTACAAGGCAAGAATAATTAAAACTAATACAACAATATATAATTTAATGAAATAAAATAGAAAGCCCAGCAAGAGAGATCAAAGTATTTACAAATGCTTATTATGGTAAAAGTGGCATTTTTAAATCACTGGGTAAAGAAAAATAATTTTTATTATTTTTAATACACATTCAAAAGAAAATGAAGTTGTGTTTTCAACCTCACAGCATATTATTTAGGACATGTCAAATGACAAAAGTATTAAAATTGTATATTCATTAAGATTCCAATATTTAATAGCAAACAAAAAAACCCTCTATTGAGCCTATACATACAAAACATTTGAGAAGCTCACATGTGCAGTTTGAATTGGTTCATTTGAATTGTGAGGTTTGCCTTTTCAGTGTATAGGGCCTTTATAGTGTAGAGGAGTGCAATGAAACTCATATCACATTATCATATTTTGTAGGACCTGTTTGGATTCATTGCATTGTTTCTATCACCGTTTGAAATATCTCAAAGATCACACATTCCATTCAAGAGATTTTTGTATGAATAAACCTACTAATGGCAAAGGTAGTTGGTTGTTCAAGGAACTGTTTTCTTCTCAACTTCCACGTTAAAGAATTGTTTTTATCAATATCTAGTGCCTCATAGCTCATTTGTTCATTCCTTCAATCATGTAATTTAAAAAAAAAAAAAAAACCTTTAGTAGAGGCTAAGTGCTCCATTTTTTTACATTGTAGGATGGTTGTGAAGTTTTATGATGATTATTAATCAATTGTGTCCTTGGATGCTGCAACCATATTGTGTTAAAGGGTGTACAGAATGTCCATTAAAAGGAAAAAAAAGAAGAAACATCTTCCTTAGCTACTTTTTGTTCCAGTTATGTTACTTCACATAATCCTGTCTAGGAAGGTCCTACTGAATATAAAGTGACAGACCATTCAGCAACTGATTGCTTCTGTTACTAGTTTAAGATAAAAACATAATTTTATTATTATTATTTTTACGTTTGACAAGACTTATTTGATGCAGTCATTTTTAAAAGAAAGCATGGTGTCTAGATAAAAACTGATTCCACATTGCCAATAATATATGTAACGGCCATCTGAGACCTGCGACCTCCATTGACCTCTGGTGAACAAAGTATTTCTCATCCCCTTATACACTTCCTTTTTCTTTCTTTCTTTTNAAAAAAAAAAAAAGAAAGAAAAAAAAGAATTCTGGTGAGTTTGCAGCATGACTGTTAAAATAATTATATGTACTTACCTGGAAAAGCATTTTCCTTCCAGAAATTCCAAATGTTTTGCTAGATATAAATGGCATTATTCTCTGGCACAGGATTAGCTGGCTGAGAAAAGGCTGGTGGGATCAACTTTGACAGGTAAGGTAACAGGAGATGAGGTGACTTACCCACGGTCGTCCCAGAGTTATGAGGTGAGGTCTTCACCAGGACCCAGGGAAATCTCCTGCTTGGTACTGCTGTCCTAAGTGACACAGAAATCATCTTTGATTCTATGTTGTACCTTATCTTTCAAAGCCCCAAAGGAAATGTCCTTCTTTGAGGTTATCTGTGGAGATAAGGGAACACAACTTATGTGAACCAAGAGGAGACAGGGCAATAATTTTTATTCCTTTTCCCTAACTCTTCCAGGGGAAGAGAGCAGAAAACAGAAAGAGCTTACCGGCCACTTCTACCTTCGCCTCCTTCTCCACCACTTTGCCCCCACTGTTTGTGACACTATGGGATGTAGACAGGGATCCACAGTACCCTGAGAAAGGAAAGAAAGATGGGAAGCGCCTGACCATGAGAAGCATGGATCAGGCAGCACAAATCCTGGAGCCCGTGCCCTGGGTGTTGACTCACCCACCAAGGGCTCTCTTTTCACCTCTTTCTGTTATGCCTCATCATCACGCTACCACACTGCAATGAAGTTCCCACATAAGAGAAATATATACCCTCCAAGGAAGGCTAGCAGGGGAAGTGACTTACCCCTGAGTCAAGAACTGGTTTGGGAGTTATGGTTTGAGTCTGATACCAGGATGCAGAGACATCTCTGATCTCTCTTGCTCCAGTGTCCTGCCCAGCAGACATAATATGAGGCTTTCATCAGGCCCCTCAGGAGTGCAAAGGAAACACACTTCTCTCATATACAACAGGGTGGGGGGAAATAAGGGATATAAAAAAACAGGAAACAGAAAGAAATGGGGTGAGTTATGACTTCATTCCCTTACCCTTAACTCTATTTATGAAGTCCATGACTCAGTTGGATGGAGATGGTGGAACCTCCTTTTCTTTTCCCCCAGCCCAATTCGGACACTCATTCTAGCACATAGACATGGCACTGATTCATAGTGAAATTAAAAACCTATGAGTGTTTTCTTTCTTCTTTCCACATGCTCTCCAGGCATGTGGAAAATAGTTTCTGTACACTGGAGAAACTTAACAAACCCCAACTTCATTAAATGATGAAGTTTAACATCACCAGTTACATCATGTAGGTATTATGACTCCCGGATATAATGTGACAAGAAGTTCACTTCAATTTAATGATATTAATTCTCAAAACCTATAATCAAGGTCTAATTATGAGGAAAACAGCAGACTAAGCCTGTACTCTTCAAGGCTGTCAGGTTTATGAAAATAGGCAGTTCCTCAAAAGGATAAACAGAGAGTTACCATATGACCCAGAAATTCTACTCCTAGGCACACACCAAAGATAAATGAAAACATACATTAACATAAAAACTTGCACACAAATGTCTGTAGAATTATCACTCATATTAGCCAAAAATTGGAAACAGCTCAGGTGTCCATCAACAGAAGAATAAACAAAACATATCTATGGTTCCTGGGGCTGGAGATGGGTGGGGATTTAGCTGCATTCAAGCATGATAGGATTTCTCAGGGTGATCGAATCATCTAAAACTTGACTACAGTGATGGTTGTAACACTATACATTTACTAAAAATCATCAAGTTAAACCTTTAAAATTTAGAAATTATATTGTCTATAAATTACATTGGAAGAAAGTTGCTTACAAACATGATATTGGCTTGGTTTTCTGCTGTCCACAGTAATGACAACATTTTTTTTCATACAAAGGCATTGACACACATGCTTTATAAAACCACAAATGTATATAAAACTGTAGCTGTATCCCAGGCCTGCTAACTCTATGTCCTGTTTATCCAGGCAATGCCCTAACATCTTACTCATGGTGCCTCAGGTTGCCCTTGTGTGCAAAATATTATTCACATCTGATCATTTCCACATCTTCCAACTGTGGCAATGGCTTGAGAGTGGGTCCATGATGGAGTCCAGGGCCTTCTCCCTGTGATAGAATGTTGTCATTGTTAGTTTCTACACTCCTCTGTGGCCTTTCTTGCATGACTGTACTTGAAGAATCAAAATTGTACACTGCCTTTATGAGTGTAAGTATGGACATACTTATCAAAGAGCCACACAGGTGCACACCCTTTGCACCAACAATTCCCTTTTAGAAGTTTATCTTCAGGATGTAGTGAAGGATGTTAATAAGAATCTGGTGGGAAGGACTTCCACCTTGATAATTTTCTTCCTTCACTTCTGGGCCTGAATTTGGGACGGGAGACCAAATGCAATGTAAAAACATGAAGGGGTAGAAGGAAGTGGAGGGAAATGTGGTTGTCAGCACACACATACACTCACACACACATACAAACCCACATGCATACAGACTCCCACACACTCCTACATCAACCAGGCTCTGTTATCACTGTTATTACAATAGGAGAATTCTCCCAAGATAGTTACTGGGCTCCAAGGGAATCCATTCAGCTTACCAGTGCAAATAGCCACGTGAACTCTGCCTTTAACTGCAGCCTTTAGCAATGTACAAACTCTGAAAAGATGCCACCAACACAGTGTAGAATATCAGGACACTCTGAATAACATGGGGTTGTAATAATTGAATATGTTACACCCATAGGATGAAATTTTAGAAGGCAGCAATAACAAGTTATCATGAAGACAAAGATGAGAAGTGGTTTGTTGTCTGGTTAGCAATGATTCACATTATTGCAAACACGGGGAGAAAGAGACTTTCCTACTGAATTTTTAGGAATATATCTTAGTAATAGTGTTCTCAATGTATTGTGTTACAGTAATACAAAATTGCATAGATTTCATGATTTTCAAAAATATTTTCAATCCTTATCAAACTTGGGAAGACAGCCAATTGGAAGCAGCTGCAGTCAGCAGTACACAAGGAGAGGAATGAAAGGAGCAAATGAATTCAACATATTCAACTGAGATATCTGAGTTCTTACATTGGGATTGATTAGCCAAACTGCTTAACCCATGGAGAGCGAAGAGAAGTAGAGTGATGCGACAGCCCACCTGGAAGCAGCATGGAACCCAGCTACCCTCCACCCCTAGCCAAGGGAAGTGGTGAGTGAGTGTGTGACCTTCCCAGGGTAACCATGCTTCTCCCACAGATCTTTGCAACTGTGGATCAGGAGATCCCCCTTGTGAGACCATGCTACCAGGACCTTGGGTCCAATACACAGAGTCTCGGCAGAGCAGCCACTCAGGCACACGCAGAGGCCCAGGAGTTTTGCATACTTGGGCCTTGGGATCTGTGGCAAGATGGGAGAGGTGTCTGGGTATGTCCCTAGGAAGAGGGCCTAGTCCAGGGAGCAAGCAGCGTTGTTCTGCGGGCCCCACTTCCACAGTGCCTCATGGGTTGAGACCCACTGGCTTGGAATTCCAGCTGGCTGGTGGCATCAGGCTGGAGCTTGCCTGAGTTGGGACTGAGTTCCCCTGGGGGAGGGATGGCCGCCATCTCTGTGGTTCAGTAGACTCAGTCATTTCAGCCTGCAGCTTTGAAGAGTAAAGGCAGTCCAGATGAGGAGGGGTCCCCCACAGCATAGCACAGCTGCCTCGCTGGATTGTAGCCAGACTGCTTCTTTTAGTGAAACCCCATCCATTCTTCCTCACTGGGCAAGACCTCCCTGCAGGGGCTTCAGCCACTCCAGCAAGGTTCTACAGACAGAGCTCTGATCTCTCCCTGGGACTAAGCTCCCACAGGAAGGGGCAGCTGACAAAAACAAGCAATGGGAAAAAGATTCCCTATTTAATAAACGGTGCTGAAAGAACTGGCTGGCCATATGTAGAAGATAGAAACTGGACCATTTTCTTACTCTATATACAAAAATCAACTCACGATGGATTAAAGACTTAAATGTAAAATCCACATCTATAAAAACCCTAGAAGAAAATCTAGGCAATACCGTTTGGTACATAGGCACAGGCAAAAATTTCATGATGAAAATGCAAAAACCAATTGCAACAAAAGCAAAAATTGACAAATAGGATCTAATTAAGCTAAAAAACTTCTGTACAGCAAAAGAAATGATCATCAAGCAGGCCGGGCGCGGTGGCTCAAGCCTGTAATCCCAGCACTGTGGGAGGCCGAGGCGGGTGGATCACGAGGTCGAGAGGTCGAGACCATCCTGGTCAACATGGTGAAACCCCGTCT